ACTGGATTTTTGGGATATATGCACACTAGTTTCGAGCAATAGCGTAGGTTGAAACTTGGTCAACTTATTAAATTGTCTAGGACTTTATGAGACCAACTGAAAATCCGGTTCCGAGTTCTGAAATCCTGAAGCATTAAGACTGATAAACTCGATTTAAAATGAAATTAAAACAGACATTTATGCTTCAAAATTCTTTAAGAAGATCAGCCATAATCATATTGTACACCAAATTTAATATGAATTCTTTAAGAATTGCTGTGGGAGGACATTCACGAGACATTCATGAAACTTCCTTGCTTGCTGAAAGATAAAAAAAGCTTTGCTTACAAGATTTTTCGAAATTTGATTTATCATCGGCTTTATTGCAAAACAACGCACAAAATGTGGGTGGATTTCCATGGAAAAAATTATTTGATAAATTGAATGAAAAGTAAAGGCACACAAAATTTTTAGGTACGATGACATAATTTTGAATCAAATAATTCAATCATGTGAGACTTTGATGAAATTTTCTATATTTGACATTGCTTTGCAGTTAAATTGACATGAAAGCTTATTAAGTTTTCAATAAAATCATTTTGTCAAAAGCTTTAGATTCCGACTACAATTTCATTATTCAAAACTGCATTTCGAAAAGCCATAACTTGAAACTTTGTTAACATTTGATAATTTAATATTTCATGAGGCGTTGTTTGGTCACTGATGGAACCATTAATATTTGATTTTTTCGAAAATTTATTGACAAACCTTTTTGGATGAGCACAAACAATTTTATGTCAAAAACAGCTTCATTTCCTGTGGATGTAATGAAACAAAATGATAAACAAATTCATGTTTTTGTGACAAATCAAAGCACTTTATACGGAAGTTTTACAGCGAGACGTCTGTAGCTTAAGGTCAGTGCTTTTAACCTACGTTCCGTTACAAGCTAGATGGCAATCAGCTGACTTTTGTTACTGTTTGTCTTCCACAATAGATAGTCTCCAGCAACTAGTTCCTGATTTTTGCTAATCGCCGTTTGGGTGAGTAACAATTGTATTTGGGACCAGTGCTGCTTGCCAATTCTACTACGAAAGTAACACAATAGTTACCATTGACTATTGACTAGTGACTATTGACTAGTGACTAGTGACTAGTGACTAGTGACTAGTGACTAGTGACCATTAACTAGTGACCATTGACTAGTGACTAGTGACTAGTGACCATTGACTAGTGACTAGTGAATAGTGACTAGTGACTAGCGACTGGTGACTAGTGACCAGTGACATCATCATGCCCCCTTCTCCTGCCCAAAATTTGTATCAACGACTCCTAGAGCTACCATGGTAGTGCTGTACTGCGAACAATTCATCGACTTCATCAACAAAAAATACAAAAATTCTTGATTGAAATCCGATTAATTCAAAGAAGACCTTGAAAGTCCTAAAATGAATCTACCCCAAAAAATAAATTCGAACATGACTTCCTCTACAATCTTTTAAAGCCATAGCAAAAAGTAAAAAACTTTTTAGACACAAAAAACAGCAAAAATCCAATGAAAAGCAAAAATCAATTCTAATTTATGCCTTGATTCATCGATTCCTCTTTTTCAATTCACAATAAGTTATTGAACCTCTGTGCCATTTATTCGTAGCAAGGATGGATTATGCGAAAACGTGATTTTCATTTTATTTATTTTTTTTTAAAAGAATTTTGATATTCTGCTGGTTGTCGATAGTACATAGGAGCCTGTGGGTCGAGAATTTGGGATGCTCACACAATAGACTTGTAATTTAACAGAAACAGAATATCACAAAGATTATATTTCCGTGTCATGAGGCAGAAAAAAGAAGAAGACAAGAGGAAGCAGAAATTGCTTCGTGCAATGAAACTGAATGGAAATGAATTGAAAATGATAAACAAGAAGAAAAAGGAGTGGATGCTTCAATGAGCGATAAAAGAATCATCGAGTATTGAGTGTATCGTGTCTTTCACATCAACGTCAATGTTGGGGAGGGAAAGAATGTATGAAGATGCTGTAGTGCCTTCTTTTATCACATGTCATATCGTTGTACACGATAAAAAAAATAATGGGAAATGCGGAAGCAAGGACAATTTGATGAAGTTGTAAGGATTAGGCACTAAACTTTTTTTTGCAGTTTTTGGAATGGATTGATGCAACTGACTTATTACTTTTGAACCGGAAACAACTCAAATTGAATGTTATCTGGTTCCAAACCTCTTAACACTGATTAGTCGGCTCGAAAATAAGTATTAAGGTCTGCAAGTTCTTAAGGAAGTCAGGTACAAAGATACAAATCAGTGGCGCAGCAAGAAAGACTCCTTTTAAGACCACGACTCTAGAAATGACAAAACTTCAAAACAAAAGAGCACAAATAGTATTTTTTAAGGGGGGAACTTGGGCCTTGTTTGCAAGGGCTACCCGGGAGACTCTTTTCTAGTCTCAGATTAATATTCCATATATTGAAGTCGATTGAAATTAAATTCCTACCTAGGGCTCCTTGAGTAGACCTAAAAACCGGGTATAGGGTATCGAGTCATGTTTGTCATTACAATAAAAAAACCTTCATGGGGAAAGTGGTTAAGAAATAGGATATCTATAATCTACCTTGACATGAATGACTTTGTGAAGACATTGGTTCAATTCCCATTCACAAGAGGCTTAATATTTTTAATCACTTCAGATAATACTGTCAAATTGACAATGCTTGGGTTCTCACAATGTTTATGACATAACAGCGACCAAAAATTCTAGAAAAGCCATTGCAAGCTTCATAGTCCCATCCCAGCCACACAAAAAAAAAATCTCATTTTAGATGCTGAAATATGAACGATATCAAGTTGCAAAATCAAATTTTTGTGCTGAAAATGTCTTCGTTCCTTTCATGAACAAATTAAATTCCATAAAATTTAATAGTCTTGTATGTTGTGAAAGCTTCCTCGTCCGTAAAATACAACAACTGAATTATTTCTTGTTGCCACTTTTTTTAAATTGACCCTTTTATCTATTTTTAGATTCACCTACATTCCGTGTGAAATATCACCTACACATTCACACATAAATCAAACCGCAAACAAAGTCTTTCTCATAGTTTATTCATCTACACACTTACCTATGTGACGTTTGACTTTCTGATGAGATTTATCTATTGTTCTGAGATAAGCATATATCAAAGTCAGACAGTTAACGAGACATACTCAATCATTTGTAAATATTAATGTCGTTACATTAATAATCGCCATATCATGTCAATTGATTAGATAGACGCAGAAGAAAATAAAGTTTAGTGACTATAATGTTTGTGATTGTGTGAACGCAGAAAGAAGAAATGAAATAAAACACGAAAAAAATATATATTTTCAAGGGCAGATTTGTTTATTGGATTTTTTTCTTGTTGTTGTTGTTCGTGACACTTAACGAATTAATTTTTAATTCTTCAATAAATATTCAATGAATGTTTTTGTTGATAATTTATTTATCAGCATTGACTGTGCTGGATTATTAATTCTAACTGATTTCTTTATTAAGAAGTTTGGTTGGGATGGTAAAAGTTTTTTGTCGGCTGCAATAAGAAGGTCTACTGTTGGATTTCTTGATTATTCAATCTTGTAAGGCTTTTGCATGCTAAGGACATTTTAGTGTCGAAAATAGTCGACATGTTCGAATTTACTCGACATAGCTTTTAAATATTTAAAACCCGTTAAAAATTCGTCAATTTTAGAATTTTAAGCAATTATATTTAAGTTCTAGTAATTTTTTGGATGATTTTAGCAAAAGTGAGTTTTTGTAAGAAATATTCATGAAAATTTAACGGTTTTTTGATATTCAAACCAAAACGTAATGGATTTTTTGACGTGCCCTAGGAATTTTTGAAAATTGGAATTTTTAATTAAGGCCTTGGTTTTTAATTGCGGTTTTATATATTATAGTTTAGACCAGAAGTCAGATTCTAGAGCTTCCGAGGACCCCCTAGAGTAGAAATAACATTATATGTGTTACACTTTGGGATGTGAACAGGGTAGGGTGACCCGAGGTGCTCCCCATTCTAAAATAGTCGCCAGTCTCTGACCTCTGAATCAAACTTCTTATCATATTAATCAAATTAGGAATTGAACCAATATCCAACGAATTTTCATGAATTGATGTTCTTACACTCGGCATATGAAGCTTTCAGTTTGAAGCATCTCTTAACATCCAAAAGTCTGTCTAGAGCAGTGTTGACAAAACTTTTTTGAGCCTAACCTTAGGGTTAAGCCATTACCAAAGTCGCACATTTGCGAAAAATTTCTACAGCACAAAAGTGTACCGCAGCACATAGTTTGGACAACACTAAGAGTCTCAATCCAATCATTGCATATGGCTCGGAAACCTGGAATTTTACGCAGATGAGGAAGCTCTTGGTGTCTTCGAAAGAGTATTACAAGCGATTCATAGGACCTATGAAGGAAGAAGAATAGTATCGAAGTCGAAACAATGACGAACTATATCAGTTTTTCCAGCATGCTAATATTATTAGGGCCCTTCAATTATAATGTCCGACATTTAGGAGGGGGGTAGGGGGGTCTAGGATTTTGTGACAGTTCAAACAATGGAAATTTTTTTCTTTAGAATTTTTGTGACAGAGGGGGTGAGGGGGGGTCTAAAAATCAGGTTTTTTGATGGACGTAATAAGTGAACGACCCCTTACGGTTCTCCCTGCAAATCACTTGAGATGGGCTAGACATGTGTTTTGCCATCCCTTCTGCTACGTAATTGTTTGAAAACAAAATTTTTCAAAAAAATTCCTCTCAGTGTATCTCCAAAAAGTAACATTGTATGTGTTGTAGAACTTCTGATAAGTCTCAGTCCACATTGATAACAAGTAATTGAAATAATCAACTCTTTTTGGAATTACTTGAGAATATCAAAAATTCATCGCATGATACTCAAGTTTAGCTATTTCATAATCTCAAAATAAAATAATAAAAATAAGAATTTTATCACTCGAAAAATTTTATAGTACAAATTTAATCCAACGACAGAGCAAGACAAGCAAAAATATTCTGTTTCTGTTCAATCGTGAGGAACAAGAAAAAATAAATAAATAAATACAAAAAAAAAATATCCAATGTCAACAGAATTTGTAGTATATCCACGTCGCGATGGAGTTCCATATCCGCAAATTTACAGTCGATTCAAAGTAAAATCGGAAGATGTTGAGGATGAATTTTTTATTCAGGACTTGACTGTAAATTATTTCGATATGGCTGTCGATTTTATTGTTGAGAATCATGCACGCGGTGCAGTTTTTCATCGTGCAGCAGGCACCATTGGAACTGAGGCTGGTGTTGATATAATTAGGAAAAATTATCGTGCTGCATTTGAGCAACGAGTTTCATTAATTTGTATTGATGCAAAGACAAATGAGATTGCTGGACTTAATGCTCTGTACTTAGCATCAAAGTTTGATCCACCAAAGCCAGAAAGTGACGATCCAAACTTCCGTAAGCTCAACCAAACTCTGAAGTTCATTGAGGAAAGCTTCAATGTTTATGAACATTATGGCGTTGATCGTGTCATGTTTGCAGCTGGCTTATGTGTTGACAAAACGTATCGAGGAAGAGGAATCGCAACGGAAATATTGAAGGCACGTGCACATGTTTTGAAAGCAATCGGCGTTGAAGTGACATCGTCAATTTTCTCAACTGTTGGAGCACAAAAAGCAGCAAAAGCTGCTGGATATGATGAAAATTTTTCAATATCGTATGAGGATATGGATGAAAAATTGCCATCTCTAAACTTTTCACATGGATATGGAAACACTTGTAAAGTTTTGTCATTAAAAGTCAAATAAATGGATACGCTGTCATAAATGTATGTACGATTTACATCCTTGCTTGTTCATTTTTTATTCAGTTTCTATGACTATAAACTTCTTCAATATCAATTTGTTCTGTGGTACTATTAAATGTATGAGATATAAGTTGTTGCATGCATGCATTGAAGAAGTTTAGTTGTTTAACTTTCATTTTATATTTTTTTGGTATTTTAATAATAAGAGAATTGTTTCTAAATTGTGCTTTGTATTACAGAAATTGAGTTTTAATATCTCCAAACTTTTCCAATTATGAATTCTATTGCAACACAATTATTGGGGTTTTAAAGGTCTTTATGAACTCACTAGTTCTTGTTATTATAATTTGAATTTGATGTTTTTATTATGAGTCAATGCTTCAGATTTTGGACAATGTTTCAAAATTCTTGATTTAAATTTGAGTCAAACCTTTAAAATTCATAATTTAAATTTAAAATTCGTGAATTAAACGTGAGGCAACGCTTTGAATTCTGGATTTAGTTTTAAGTTAATGCTTCAGAATTCTCGATTTCATTTTGAATCAATGCTTCGAAATTTTAGATTTAAATGTAAGTCAACGCTTTAAAATTCGTGAATTAAACGTGAGGCAACGCTTTGAATTCTGGATTTAGTTTTAAGTTAATGCTTCAGAATTCTCGATTTCATTTTGAATCAATGCTTCGAAATTTTAGATTTAAATGTAAGTCAATGCTTTAAAATTCGTGAATTAAACGTAAGGCAACGCTTTGAATTCTGGATTTAGTTTTAAGCTAATGCTTCAAAATTCTCGATTTCATTTTGAATCAATGCTTCGAAATTTTAGATTCAAATGTGAGTCAATGCTTTAAAATTCGTGAATTAAACGTAAGGCAACGCTTTGAATTCTGGATTTAGTTTTAAGCTAATGCTTCAAAATTCTCGATTTCATTTTGAATCAATGCTTCGAAATTTTAGATTTAAATGTAAGTCAACGCTTTAAAATTCGTGAATTAAACGTGAGGCAACGCTTTGAATTCTGGATTTAGTTTTAAGTTAATGCTTCAGAATTCTCGATTTCATTTTGAATCAATGCTTCGAAATTTTAGATTTAAATGTAAGTCAACGCTTTAAAATTCGTGAATTAAACGTGAGGCAACGCTTTGAATTCTGGATTTAGTTTTAAGTTAATGCTTCAGAATTCTCTATTTCATTTTGAATCAATGCTTCGAAATTGTAGATTGAAATGTAAGTCAACGCTTTAAAATTCGTGAATTAAACGTGAGGCAACGCTTTGAATTCTGGATTTAGTTTTAAGTTAATGCTTCAGAATTCTCGATTTCATTTTGAATCAATGCTTCGAAATTGTAGATTGAAATGTAAGTCAACGCTTTAAAATTCGTGAATTAAACGTGAGGCAACGCTTTGAATTCTGGATTTAGTTTTAAGTTAATGCTTCAAAATTCTTGATTTCATTTTGAATCAATGCTTCGAAATTGTAGATTGAAATGTAAGTCAACGCTTTAAAATTCTTGAATTAAACTTGAGGCAACGCTTTGAATTCTGGATTTAGTTTTAAGTTAATGCTTCAGAATTCTCGATTTCATTTTGAATCAATGCTTCGAAATTTTAGATTTAAATGTAAGTCAACGCTTTAAAATTCGTGAATTAAACGTGAGGCAACGCTTTGAATTCTGGATTTAGTTTTAAGTTAATGCTTCAGAATTCTCGATTTCATTTTGAATCAATGCTTCGAAATTGTAGATTGAAATGTAAGTCAACGCTTTAAAAGAATCTCGCGGATTTGACCTGTTCGTTTGTTTACATTTTTCATCAAATAATTATTTAATAAATTAATACTATTCTACTCGTTGGACTTTAGTAATTGTTGTTACAAAGAGTGCCTAAGTGCCTAAGAATCAATAGAAATATCAAGTGCATCTATAAAATCCATTCGGTAGTGCTGTGATTAGAAATTAAAATTTTCTATTCCCTAAGTGGAAATGGCAACTCGGAAATGTCCGCAGTGCAAAGTTGATTGTGCCATCGACGAGTTCTTTCAGTGCTGTCTTTGTAAAAGAAGTGCTCATTTATGCCATCAGCAATTTAAGAAAAATAATGTCGATCCTGACTTTATACGTCGCGCTGCATTGTCTGGCTTTAAATATATCTGTTGTTCATGTTTTCCCTCGGTGGAACTATTCTCAGGAACCTCTGTGAATTTGCAGAAGCAATTGGACGTATTGCATGCTGGAATCTCAAGAATCGCTGGTGATGTGAGTAAACTTTCAAGTGACGTAAATGAAATTAAAAATGTTCATGTTGATTCCGATTTTTCTTGTCGCATTGAAAATTCGCATCCTTCCTCTTCCCGTCCTACCATGTCTTATGCCAATGCTTTAAAGGAATCTACCCTCGTTCTTACTCCAAAAAATTGCGAAACTGAAACATCCGAACTTAAAGAAAAAGTGCGTAAATCAATAAATCCTGAGGAGAGTCGTATAACTGGTTTCCATACAACATCAAGCAACAAGATTATTCTCAAATCAGGGATCACAGACACTGATTCATTTGCATCTTCAATCACATCCAAGCTTGGAAGTGATTTTGATGTCGCAATTCAGGATACAGATATTAAGCGCCTCAAGCTAGTGCGCTTTCGCAATGATGACTTCACACCTGATGAGATTATACAAGCTATAGCAAAGCAGAATGAGAATGAAATCAAAAACATCGAGAAACTAAAAATTCTTAAAGAGATTCAAAACAAAACAGATACTCGTTTTAGTACTCTTATTCTTCAGATCGATTCCTTGTCTCACAAACTTGCTCTGGAGAAAGGATTCTTAAATATTAAATGGAATAAATTTAAGATTTTCGATGCATTTACAATTACTCGATGCTTCAAATGCTCTCGCCTTGGACACAAAGCCGCAGAATGCAAATCCGCCACCCCAGTTTGCCCTAAATGTTCTGGATTGCATGAAGCAAAGGATTGCACCGTTACTTATTTGTCCTGTGTAAATTGCGTCGATGCCAAGGCTAAGTTCAATCTAGATATCAATGTTTCCCATGCTGCTTACAATCCTAAATGTCCCACTATGCTTTCTAGATTAAATAAGGTTCCTAAAAATTAGCAATTACCGAACGGCTTAGTTTGGTACACAAATTGCCAAAGCCTTTATGCTAATTTACCTGCACTCAAGGTTTTTGCATTTGAAACTAAGCCCAAACTTTTATTGCTCAGTGAAACACGTACTATTTGTAACATGACCGACAATGAATTAAAAATAGATGATTATACATTATTTCGAGTGGATTCTTATTCGAGGCATACAGGAGGCGTTGCGTGCTACTTGCATTCATCGGTTAGCATTGACATAATTGATTCATTCTCTGAGCTAAATATATGGTCACTAACATTTAGAGTCTTAACAGGATATGTACGTGATACTTTTTGCATTGTTTATCGTGGTCACAAATCTACAAATACTGATTTTATTTCCTTCCTCGACCGTACCTTTGACTTCCTATCCACAAATTGTAAACGCTTCCATGTCATTGGTGATTTCAACTATAATTTTACTGATAAAGTCATTTCAAAGCCTCTCATCTCAAAGATAAAATCGTTCTCTTTGTCTCAAATCATCAAATCACCCACACGGGAATGCAACGGCAGTAGCACCTTGATCGACTGGGTAGTCACAAACACAACACCTATTACATGCCATGTCGTTAATCACAAAAATATTGCCGACCACAATTTTATTGCAATCGATTTATTTCCCAAGCAAAACAATCAAAAAGCAACTGCAATCTCGCGCGTCGACTGGTCTATGTAAATACTCAAAACCTGATTTAACCCAATATTTGGCTAGAGTAAATTGGCTGCAATTTGATTCAATTCGGGACACTAATGAGAAATTCAACTTTTTGTACCATCATATTATGCTTTTTCTCAACAATGCTTTGGAAGTTAAATCTTTTACAGTCAAACCCTCGGCAAAATGGTACTCAAGGGAACTTAAGAACCTAAACAAGCAGAAAATGCAGGCGAAACACGAATGGAATAAAAATCACAACGAGTCAACTTGGAAACGATATGTTAAAGTACGCAACACTTACAAGAACAATCTTCGCACAGCTGAATCCAACTATTTGCAAGCACAACTTACAAACAATTCTGACGACCCCAAGAAGCTATGGACTGTTCTCAAGTCAATATATGACAACAACTCTAAGCCTTCCTTAAACGCTCTCACTTTCCCAGATGGTATTTTTCATGAAAGCCAGACATGCGCTGATCGTTTAAATAATTATTTTATCAACAGCATAGTTGAAATTTCAAATCAAATACCAACAGTTCGCCCTACTTTGCAATTCCATATAAATTCTACTTCCACGCTTTTTAGTTTTCAGCCAGTTACATTCGAACAGGTCAAACATTTAATTACTGAATCAAAAACCAAGTATTATCATGACAATCTTACTGGTAAAGTTATTAATGATGCACTGGATTCTCTAGATTTTCTAATATCATTTACTAATCTTTTAAATATGTCTCTTGAGCGTGGTCAAGTACCTGATCTTTTCAAATGCAGCACGATTACGCCTATACAAAAAATTCCGAATTCTAATAAAGTAAATGATTTGCGCCCAATAAATACATTACCGGTCTGTAGTCAGATCCTGGAACGTATTGTTAAAGATCAGCTTTTAGAGCATTTCGAATCCAACAATCTCTTTGCTAGCCAACAATCAGGCTTTCGAAAGTTCCATAGCTGTGAAACTTCGATTGCTTATATTACCTCCGAATGGATTGATGCACTTGACAGGAACAAGATAGTAATTTCAGTTTTTCTAGACTTAAAGAGAGCTTTCGAGACTGTTGATAGACAGCTCTTACTGGACAAATTAGAGATGTACGGATGTGATCCTATAGTCCTCAACTGGTTCAACTCCTATTTATCGAATCGTTTTCAGCAGACCAAGTTTAATGGTTTTTTTTCAGCACTCATGCCAATAATATTTGGTATACCACAAGGATCTGTACTTAGC